GCTGGCTCAGGAATTCTGGGAGTTGAAGTCCACCAGTCATGAAGGGGCCAAAGTTTCCCTCATGCTGGCTCAGGAATTCTGGGAGTTGAAGTCCACGAGTCATAAAAGAGCCACGGTTGCCTACCCCTGGGCTAGCTGTTAAGAGATCCTGGAAGAAAAGGGGGAAAAGTCACCACAGGGTGATCGTCCGATATCCAAGTCTAACAGGAGAGTCAATTTTCCAGAGTTGGAGGAAGTTTTAAGGGCATTTTTATTTTTATTTTTTTGCTGTTACACTTGCTTAAGGGGAATCTTAACGTACATGCCTATCCTTAAAAAAAAAACCAAACACCAAAAGGAGCGTAAATGAACCATGAAAACAATGCAAAGAAATTTATTTTTCATAAAGATAAAAAAAATTCTTCACACCTCTCCTGGATTCTCTTCTGCATCTCCCCAAGAATACATTAGGTGGTTTTTTTTCAATCTGTATTTAGCTCTTGGAATTTTAAATTGATTTTATATCTGTAGTTGTTTTTATATTTATATTTTTTTACTGCATTGTAAGATGACCAGAGTTACAAGAGCTTCGTAATGAGATGGACAACATATCAATTTAATATTTTTTCAAATAAATAAATACATACATAAATGAATGAATGAATGAATGAATGAATGAATGAATGAATGAATGAATGAATAAATAAATAAATAAATAAATAAATAAATAAATAAATACTTCACACTTTGGAAACTTTGATCCAGAAAACTGTAGGCAGGACAATTTAATAATAATTTTTAAAATGAATGAATGAATGAATAAATAAATAAATAAATACTTCACACTTTGGAAACTTTGATCTAGAAATTTCTAGGCAGGACGAGAAGCAACGGATGGAAACTGATCAAAGAGAGAAGCAATCTGGAACTAAGGAGAAACTTCCTGACAGTGAGGACAATTAACCAGTGGAACGGCTTGCCACCAGAAGTTTACGAAGAGACTGGACAGCCATGTGGCTGAAATGGTCTAGGGTCTCCTGCTTGAGTAGAGGGTTGGACTAGAAGACCCCCAAGGTCCCTTCCAGCTCTATTCTGATTGAATGTGCCTGCTGGAGAGCAATCATCCCTGTCTACACAAGGGCTCAAATGAGGAATTATTATGGATTAATTATGTAAACAGAAATGATGCCCTCTGAATACCTTTGAGCCTGATCTGGTCTTTCCCAGTGGAACAGCCTGCCACCAGAAATCACTGGAGGTTTTTAAAAAGAGGCTAGACAGTCACTTGTCTGACATGATATTATAGTGCAGGGGGCTGGACTAGAAGACCTCCAAGTTCCATTCTATTCTATTCTATTCTATTCTATTCTATTCTACTCTACTCTACTCTACTCTACTCTACTCTACTCTACTCTACTCTACTCTACTCTACTCTA